ACATAAGCAAAAAGAAAAAAGCCGGAAGTGGCGCTGTGGCTCAAGTGGTAGAGTGCTAGCCTTGAGCTGAAGAGCTGAGGGACAGCGCCCAGTCCCAGAGTTCAGGCCCCATGACCAGACCCCCCCCCAAAAAAAACTGCAAAAACAAAACAAAAGGCTGGGTTTCTTTTCTCACTGGATCTAACAGTAGTTGGAGAACCCTTGATGAGGAGCCGGGGAGGAGAGGTACGTCCAAAGTCATTACTATTGATCTTTGCAACCTGAGGGCTAGTAGGACAGAGGACAAACGTGGCTCAGATACAACTTGTGAAGAAATGGTGCCAGAAAATTAAGACTTCACAGGAGGCCTCAAGGACTTCCCTTTACTTACCCTCACCTCCTAAAATTCTGTCTGTTGGTAAAATGAACTCAAGAAGAAGAGGGAGGAAGAAGAAGAGGAGGGATATTGAATTAAATTAGTCCCAGCAATGGGAGCTGGAGCTGGTAAATGTGGCAGTTAATGTGGCTATGTATGTTCCTCACCGCCAATGCCTCCTCCCCCATCCCAACAAGAGTCCGCTCCCAGAATGAGCACAGAAACCACCTACAATTCCATGCCCAGGAGGAAGCCTGGCTTTCCATGAAGAGATTGTATCTACACCTCTGCTACTGAAGATTGTATCTAGACCTCTGGACTAACATAAAGAAGACAATCACAAGCTAAGAAGTTGAGGTTAAGCATCCCTAATTCTGAAAAACACCGATAGAAATATGAGAGACCATTGCTTTTTTCGTTTCATTTTTTATTATCTCTAAGTAGTTGTACACAGGAGCTATTCAACAACATTGTTTATGAGTACAATACAGCTGGATCAGTGTCACCTCTTTCAACATTCTCACCATCCCTCCCAATCCACTCTTTCCCTGACAATTTTGTAGGATATATATTGGATTTTTGGCTGCATTCCTCTCCCCTTCTTCTCTTCATAAACACACTCACAAATTAAACATATGTGTTTAGGATCATCTCACGTACTTACCATTCTCCTGTAAGAACATTTAAAATCTACTCTTTAGGAATTTCCAAGAATGATGTGCATTATTACTAAAGCCAGCTGTGACCTGGCATCTGTAGCTCATACCTGTAATCCTTGCTACTTGGGAGGAGGATATCAAGGCCAGCCCAGGAATTATCTGAGGATTTTGACAAATGCAGTTGGTCTGGGGTAGGGTCTAGGATTCTGCTTTTCTAACAGGCTCCAGCTATTGTGCCTAATAGATCATGCTTTGAGTAGAATGCAGCTGTAGAGACTGACCACTATGGGTGGGGAGAATGTGTTTGTTTATACACAAGGTCCCAGAAACTATTTAAAGTAGAAATACCTATCTTCCATTGTGGTAAGGCCAACAGTCATGTCTTAGCAGGTTATACCCAAGTGCATAGCATGGCTATCTGGACTCTGATGGTTGCCCTCCTGGGCTTTATGTCTTAGTAGGTATAAGGTCTTAGACAAATCTTTAACTTCTCTGAATCCAGGTTTCCTTATCTTTATAATGGAAATAGCAAGTCTGCTGTAATGACTTTCCAAGTCAATAGGTACAAAGTGCTTAATGTAAGCAGCTTAATTAAGTGCTCATTCAATGTTGCTAATCTTGATGATAGAGGCTGTTCTGTTCCAGTTAACACGGACACACAGGCTTATTCTCCTTTTGGTGGATGGTCAAATATAAACCCCTCCATCTCCCTCCTACCAAAAGGCCTATGTCCTCTCTTTCAAATTCTTCCTACCCTTCTCCCCACTCCCCCTCCTCTGGCCCCAGTGTGGTCTGGATGGGCCCCAGAGGGGCAGGGACAGGGACAGGACGTGGGGCTGTATCTTACAGGAACCTTAGGGGCTGGCCTGGGAGGGGATTGGGGCCCGGCTTCCTGAAAGGAGGATGGGCTAAGGCAGGCACACAGTTGCTGAGAAGATGCCCTCCTGGGCCCTCTTCATGGTCACCTCCTGCCTCCTCCTGGTCCCTCCAAACCTGGCACAAGTCACCAGCCAAGGTGAGGTGTATGGAGGGGCCTGGGCATAGGGAACCCTAGGAGGGGATGGGAGCCCTGGGAAGGGATGCAAGGTAGGAAGCCCCCCACTAGTTTCCTACCCATAAACATGCCTGGGGGAAGAAGGAGGGGAACCAAAGCCCAACTCACCAGCTATTTCTTAGATGTCTCCTTGATGACCTCGGATTCAGAACCCCTGAACTGTTTCTCCCAAACATTTGAGGACCTCACTTGCTTCTGGGATGAGGAAGAGGCAGGACCCAGTGAGACATATCAACTGCTATATGCCTATCCAGGGTAGGTGCTGGGCTGTGCCCTCCCCCATATATCTGCCCCTGTACTTTGTGCATCCTATTAGCTTCCCTGTCTTTGGCCCTATCAGGGGATGATTACACTACATGCTCTAAGTAGCCACCTTATACATGGCCTAGCTCAAGCCACCACGCAAGCCTCATTCCACTATGCCAGTGAGTGAGAAGAAAGTGGCAGTAATGGAAACAGAAGCTGGGCATGGGCCCCTACCTGGGTCCTCAGGGCTAAGCATGGTGACTGTGTAGGTAGGACCTCTCTTCTGCCAACAGCGAGGAGCCCCGCACCTGCCCTCTGATCTCTCAGAGCGTGCCCCACTTTGGGACCCGTCATGTGTGCCAGTTTCCAGCCCAGGATGAAATACGTCTCTTTTTTCCACTGCATCTGTGGGTGAAGAACGTGTTCCTGAACCAGACTCTGATGCAACGAGTGATCTTTGTGGATAGTGTGGGTAAGGACATCTCAGTCATTCCGTTCTCTGCCTGTAATCTAGGTCCTAGAATCAGACTTGTGTAGATAATGTGGACATTCCCCACTTTCTGACCCCCAGAGGCATCTTGAGATCCTTTTTACCATTTGCTCCAACCTTAGTATCCAGAGCTAGACCTAACCTACAAATCACTTCATACCACCACTCACCTATTCATTTACTCATCAATTCAACTGTTATAGAACACCTCTGCGTGCCAGGTACCCTGTCAGGAGAGGAAAATACGAAGATGAAAAGTGGTCCCTGCTGTAAGGAGCATGGAGTCTGGCAAACCATTACACTATAGTGAGGTCACTCTTCTTGTGAGGAAAGGAGAACAAGATCAGGAATCATTCTTCCTACTTGTCACTCAGCTCCAGAGAGTGATGACCTGTGATCTTTTAAAATCAGAGCTGCTTCTAATTCCACCTCCAGCACCCCTTCTGCAGTCCATGGGTTGAATCATAGTGGGTGGCACTCACAGTTTTGATCTACCCTATCTTGCCTTCAGGTCTACCGGCTCCCCCCCATATCATCAAGGCCATGGGTGGGAGTCAGCCAGGGGAACTTCAGATCCGGTGGGAAGCCCCAGCACCTGAAATCAGTGATTTCCTGAGGCATGAACTCCGCTATGGCCCTGCAGATCCCAGGAACTCCACTGGCCCCACAGTTATACAGCTGCTCCCCACTGAAACCTGCTGCCCTACCCTGCCAAGGCCAAATCCCGCCTCCACCCTACACCAGTCTCCATGTGCTCTGCCCACAGCAACCCAACAGGATGGACCAACAGAGACCTCTCCAACTGGAGAAGTATTTGAAACTCCTTCTGTTCTACCTCCTATCCCCTTCCCCCAACATTTCCCCAGTCAGGGACAGGTCATACTTCGGAAATTCTAAACTCAGTTTGTCCTTGGAAATTATTGTACACTCTGATTAGCGTTTAGGAGCCCTCTCTCTTTAGGTGGTATCTCACTTTGCATCATTTACACTGACAAAATTGAGATCTAATGGGCCTCCAGGTTAATGGAGATTTCCTTTCAGAAATCTCTGAATATCCCCTGAAACCCACCAATCTGGTCCCCATTCTGTGTGTTGTACATCTAACCAGTAAGGCGCTAGCTCTGAACACACAAGGCATAGGGGTTCAAGTATTAGGGGTAGATGTCTCGGATGAGAGGCAGACCTAGATTCTGATGCTGGGATTTTTATCCCCAGGCTCCATCTCTGAAAGTCAGGGGTGGAAGTTGCCTCATCTCAGGGCTCCAGCCTGGCAAGTCCTATTGGCTCCAGTTGCGTAGCCAGCCTGATGGGGTCTCCCTCCGTGGTTCCTGGGGATCCTGGTCTTTACCTGTGACTGTGGACCTTCCCCGGGATGCAGGTGGGTCAATAAAGAAATGGGGAGATAGGAAGGAGATTTAAAAGAAAAAAAAGAACTGTAGGAAATCTTAGGCTGAATGTGAAGGCTCTGAGAACCATGGTCCTGCCTGATAACCTCAATCTTGCATTGTATAGGGCAAACTCTGCTCAAGTGAGAGAAGAGAGAACAGAGCAGATGTTCTGTTGTAGTGTAAAAATGATCTGGATACTCTATCTACAGCTCTATAGACTATGCATGGCTCTGATAGGGCTTCATATTTTGACCTCAGTGACAATTGGGCTTCAATGCTTTACCTTGGACCTGAAGAATGTTACCTGTCAGTGGCAGCAACACAACCATAATAGCTCCCAAGGCTTCTTCCACCACAGTAAAACACGGTGCTGTCCCAGAGACAGGTAAGAGTTGAACTGAGGTTTTGGTTGGTGTGATATCATGAGAGGGATGCTAAAACCAGCAGAAAAATGTAAAGATTGCTCATGGAACTCTTCACTCTCCTGCTTTTAACTGCCAACTAGGCTCTGTGCTTTGTTATTTACTCTACCATTCTCACATGAATGTTTTGTATTCTCAACCTTATCTTTCCATTCCTCCTGGGAATGCTTTAATCACATCACATCATTGTCACAGCCTACAGTCTCATTTACTTCAATTTGTTCCCCATGCTTTGTACTTAGTGATCTTTGCTAAGCTCAAACATTGCTAGATCTGTGTAAAAATCATACTTGGTATAGCCTTCAGCACTCAAATATGTAATACAACTTCGCATGGTCAAATATGGTTTCTGATCTGTTGAATCTAGACAAAAATTAGCCTGGCCTTTTGGGATGTCTACCAAACTCCTCACTGACACACATTACCAACTTTTGACTTCTACCAATTACATATCTCTAGATGATGTCCACTGTAGTATAATGCTGCCATTACATTGGTCCAAGCCATTATCATCTCTAACTTCATGAAAAGAACTGATACCTTTCCAATCATTCTCCGCCTAGGGGCTGGAGAGTTCTTTTGAAAGTACTAAACTGAACAGAACATTCCCAGCTTTAAAGAAGTCTATCATGGCCTTATAAAGTTCTGAAGATCTACCTCCCATGTGTTTCAGCTTCTATGCTATACTGCCCTTTGCTCCCTCTGTTCCAGCACTGGCTTTCATTGGTTCCCTTATATCTGCCATATTCCCTTCTGCTTCTGAGTCTTAGCACATACTATTTCTCCCTCCTATCTTTACTTCTCTGTACTCCCTCAGGGAACTCTCCCTGATCTTCCTTATTAGATCCAATAGCACACAATTTTACATTCTTGTTCTTTTCATAGTTTACCATTTACATTTTATGTGATTATTTGGTTGACTAAAAAGTTCTCTCTCAGAACTCCAGTTGAGAAAAGCTGACCTTGACTATGACCCAAAAGGATAAAATCCACCTGTTTTTATGCACAAATATGTTCTCATCTACCTGAAATACAACAGGTGCTTAGCTGAAAATTGCTCAGTGATATGGGTATGGTGGCTGGATGTGGTGGCACATACTTGTATTTCTAGCTTTCAAGAGGCAAGAGGATCATAAGGGAGGCTAAGGCAGAGGCCAGCCTATTGAAACCTGTCTCAAAAAACAGGCTCCAGTGGTAGAGCATCAACTATCAACCATGAGCAAGCAGGCTGAATGTGCACCTTACATGGACCTTACACAAGTCCAATACCAGAAAAATAAATTACCAAACAGTTCAATGAGTGAATAATTTTTAAAACACTCAACAATTGCTGGGTGCTGGTGGCTACTCAGGAGGCTAAGATCTGAGAATCACAGTTCAAAGCCAGCCCGGGCAAGAAAGTCCATGAGACTCATATCTCCAATAAACTACAGAAAAAGCTGAAAGTGGAACTGTGGCTCAAGTGGTAGAGCACTAGCCTCAGGGTAGGCTCAAGGACAGAGCCTACGCCCTGAGTTCAGTCCCTGGCATTTAAAAAAAAGAAGACAACAATTTTTTAATGTATGTGTTTGCTTCTATACATTTTAAAATTATATAAAATATTATTGGGAGCTAAACACCTGTGGCTCAGACCTATAATCCTAGATACTCAGGAGGCTGAGATTTCAGAATTGTGGTTTAAAACAGCCCACCAAAAGTCAGCAGTGGAGCTTAAACAGTAGAGTGCTAGCTAGAACACAGAAGTTCAGGGGCAGCCCTAAGACCAACATACATATCCACATTTTTAAAAATTAAACACACACACATATATGATCACATTATACATACTTTTTTTTTAACACTTGTTTTTGCGGTGCTAGGAATAGAACCCAGATCTCACATGTGCTAGACAAATGCTCTATCACTGAGTTACATGGTCAGCCTTTCGTTGTTTGTTAATTCCGTTTTTAACTATGTCTTGGAACTCATTACAAAAAGATGTCATTCTTGCCAGGGACCAGTGGCTCACATCAGTAATTCTAGCTACTCAGGAGGCTGAGATCTAAAGATTGCAGTTCAAAACCAGCCTGGGCAGGAAAGCCCGAGAGACTCTTATCTCCAACTAACCACCAGAAAACTGGAAGTGGCGCTGTGGCTCAAGTGGTAGAGCACTAGCCTTGAGCTGAAGAGCTGAGGGACAGTGCCCAAGCCCAGAGTTCAAGCCCCACAACCGGAAATAAAAAAGATGTCATTCTTTTAAATAAACAGTACAGATTTCCATTGTGCAGAGGTACAATCCATGCATGGACGAAAGGGTGACAAAGCTGAAATCATCATTTATTCTATCAAAACCTGCTTTTCTATGTGTGTGTACATGTGTGTACATGTCTGCATGGTGTGTGTGTTTGTGTACGTGTGTGTACATGTGTGCGTGGTGTGTGTGTGTGTGTACGTGTGTATGTGTGCCAGTACTAGAACTTGAACTCCGGGCCTTGTGCTCTTCTTTGGCTTTTGCATTCAAGGCTGGCACTCTACCACTTGAGATCCACCTCCAGATTTATGCTAGTTAAGTGGAGGTAAGAGTCTCTTGTATTTACCTACAGGCTTTGAACTACAGTCTTCAGATTTCAGCCTCCCAGTTAGCTCAGATTATAGGCATGAGTCACGAGCACCAGCTTCCACTTTTCCTCTTGATTGCCCTCTATTCTACCATGAACTCAGTTTCTACGTAGAAGTCACGCAGGACGTTCTCCATTCATACGTTTTCTACATCTATCAGAAATAGACTGGTCCCTCCCACCTCTTTCAATATCTCTTGAATCATCTTTACTCTACCCCACCTCCACCACTTATCTTCAGACCTTCATCACTTGGCACATGAAAAACCACAACAATGACCTAATGGGTTCCTCTCTTTCTACCTACCCTTCACAAATCCTTCCTACAAGCTGCAGGTAGAGTGACCTTGTGTAGTACAGGATAATTATGACACTTTTCTGTTTAAAATCCTTAACTGTCTCCACATTTTCTTCAATATTAAATGCAAGCGGGCTGGGAATGTGGCTTAGTGGTAGAGTGCTTACCTAGAATGTATGAAGCCTTGGCGTCAATTTCTCTGTACCACATAGAAAAAAGCTGAAAGTGGTGCTGTGGCTCAAGTGGTAGAGTGCTGGCCTTGAGCAAAAGGAGCTCAGGGACAATACCCAGGCCCTGAGTTCAGATCCCAGGACTGGCAAAAAAAAAAAAAAGATTAAGTCCAAGCTCCTTGGAAAGGCCACAAAGCCATCCATGACTGGGCTGTACTCTCACAAGCATTATTACCAGGCCTTAAGTCATGTTACAGTGTATCACCAGGTCCTGTATCCTAATACCATTCTACACCACTTAGTATTTCCCCCAAAGCACTGTATGTATATGCGTGAATATCTTATCTGAGCATAAGCATGTACCTGAGATGTTCATTTGTTCCCTTTACCCTGTCTCTCCAGTCAAGGTTAGATGTCCCTCTGTGATGCTCCCAGGTCAGCCTGTCCATGTTACAAAAAATACCTGTTTTTCTGCGTCTCCCAATGAGATTATATTTCATTGAAGATTATTCCTCTATGTACACAGAATGCCTAGCACAATGCCAGGCATATGAGTAACAATTGTTTGGTGACTAAATGGGTAAAGATATAAATATATACATAGTGTTTTAGAGATAACAAGTTACTTAGGAATCGTAATCAAGAATCAGACATGATTCGTTTGCTCAGTAAACAAATTTTTTTTTTAGTAAACAAATTTTTGAGGTGAGTTATATGCTAGGCATTGGGGATAGAGAGACAAAACAAAAAAGATTCTAGGGCTGGGAATGTAGCTCAGTGAAAGAGTGCTTGCCTAATATGCATGAAACTCTGGATTTGATCCCCAATAACAATAAAAACATTTTTTTAAGTAGGGAAAAGATCCAGCATTGATAGGGCTTATATTTTAGTGGGGAGTAGTGAGAAGGACAAGGATAATAAGTTTCAGATATATATATATATATATATACATACATACATACATACATACATATAATAAAGACTAAGCAAAGGAAGTATTACTTTAAACTGAGTACTCAAAATAGCCTCATCAAGGAGGTAATAGGTTAGCTGAGATCCAAGAGACAAAAGGGAGAAATGCAGGACAAAGGCAAAACATAAAGACAGGACATGAGGCATATTTGTGATAGAGGCAGAAGGCCCACATCGATGAAGGGTATGAAAATCACAGGATAAAAGAACAGTTAAGGAAGGAGGAATCAAAACACATAGAGTCTATAAGCATAATATTTAGCCTAATTAAAAAAATTTTTTTTGTTGTTCCTAAGGCCTGAATGCTGTCCCTGAATTTCTTTTACTCAAGGCTAGCACTCTACCACTTGAGCCACAATGCCACTTCCAGCCTTTTTTTTTTTAGTGTGAAAATACCATACAGAGGGGTTACAATTACATGGGCAAGATAATGAGTACCAAGCATTGTTGCCTCCTCCTTTGTTTCCCCATACCATCCCTTCCCCGCTCCACCCCCCCTCCCCCTCCCCCCTCCAGTCTTTTTGAATAGTTTATTAGAGATAAAAAGTTTCACAGACTTTCCTGCCTGGGCTAGCCTCTAACCTCAATCCTCAGATCTCAACCTCCTGAGAAGATACAAGTGTGAGCCACCGTCACCCAGTTTAGCTTGGATTTTATGCCAAGTGGGATGAAGAGGCATTGAAGGATTTTTAAGAGGAAGAGTAAGCTAGTGCTTTTAAATCACACCTGTAACCCTAGCTACTCCTTGAGGTTGACATCTAAGTATTGTGGTTTGAAGCAGCCCAAGCAGGAAAGTCTATGAGACTCTTATCTCCAATGAACAGTAGAGCTATGACTCAGATGGTAGAATGCTAACCTTGAGCAAAAAAATACCCCTCACGAACAGTCCCAGGTCCAACATTCAAGTCTAAGGAGAGCATCAAAAAAAAGGGGGGGAATAATAACATGATAGATAGATAGATAGATAGATAGATAGATAGATAGATAGATAGATAGATAGATAGATAGATAGATCAGGACTAGGGACATAGTTCAGTGGCAGAGAGTTGTCTAGCAAGCATGAGGCACTGGGATCAATCTTCAGCACAGAAAGAAACAAAAAATCCAGGTAGAGTCCCAGCACTCAGAAAAGATTAAGGCAGGAAAATCATGAGTTCAACTCCAGCCTGAACACTATAGCAAGACCCTCTCTCAAAAAGTAAAAAAAGCCAGGTACTGGTGGCTCATGCCTGTAATCCTAGCTACTCAGGAGGCTGAGATCTGAGGATCGCAGTTCAAAGCCAGCCCAGGCAGGAAAGTCCATGAGACTCTTATCTCCAATAAACCAC